ATTTTAGCATAATCTTATCTAATTCGCATAATTCGCATAATTTAGCATAATTTACAGCATATTTCTATATAAATTATTGCATAATTTCGCATAAATAACCTCGCAAAGCAGGCAGATTTTAAGGTTTGTCACCGCAGATTTTTGGTATCCCTAGTCCAGGTATCATGAAATTTAATTCAATACTTTCACAATAACCGCAAATTACTAAATATAGGTAAAATCAAATGGTAGCGTTATTTTTATTCTGTCCACCCGCGTTGTCACAAGTAATTTTTAAATGTTTTTCACCTTTGTTCAATCTCTTAATTCCATCAAAAACCATACTCAGTGTACCATTAGGCAGGGATGGTAAATGACCTGGTCATTTGCCCAAATTTTAAATGACCAAGTCATTTGGATAAATGACCCAGGTCATTTGGGTCATTTGCATAAAGTAATTTTATTGGCCAGATAGCTAATATAAAAAGTTATTAAACACTGTAATTTCACTAATTTATGATCGTAGCTACATATAAAAGTCCAAATACTACTAAGTTAATCAATATTTATGTCTTAAGTAAAGTTGTTCGGAAGAACAAAATGCATATATCTTAAAAATTTTATATAATTTGATTAACTTTTTACTATTCTATTTTGGCCTTTTACGTTTATACAAAAAAATTTTAATTTTTTCGTATAAAGGTAAAATACGAAAATAGCATAATAAAAAGTTAATCAAATTATATAAAATTTTTGAAATATATGCATTTTGTTCTTCCGAACAACTTTACTTAAGACATAAATATCGATTAACTTAGTAGAATTTGGACTTTTATATGTAGCTACGATTGTTAATTATATTTTATAAAAATTACTTCTTGTATAATAATTAATTAACAAAGGTTAAATGACCTTCTAAGGTCATTTGGCTTTTGAAATGACTCATGACCAGTCATTGGTCATTTGGGTCATTTGGGTCATTTCAGGTCATTTACCATCCCTGCCATTAGGGCCTTTGCCGATAATTTCGTCTTCATCAAGAACGTAATTAATTTGTTCGCGTACTGCTTCATCTTGTATACCAAATAAATGCACTTTACGCGGACTAAGATAATAGATCTTACTTGCTTGTTGATCAGAATGGGGCACGTGAACGTTTTGTGCCCAATCGTAACTGTAATGAGCAGTAGCGTCAACGCTACAATAATCAGCTTTACCTCTTATTATAAACTGCTCATCTACCAATTTCCTCTGCTGTTCTGCTAATTTCGTATTTTTGTTGTAATAATTTCTCTCTAACTTAGCTTTAACTAGATGTTCTTTGAATTTTTTCAATAAATTTTTCGCTTCTTCTTCCTTGCGAGCATTGTATTGTAAGCCGTTCCGAAAATGTTGGCACGTGTCACATAAATCCGTTCTTGGACTCATAATTTGAATATAAGGCGTTAATTGGTGCCATAACTTGCGGAATGCATCATATTTTAACAATTTCAACGTGCTGTCGTTTTCGAGGCCTGCAATAAAATCATGATAGACTGACTTGTAACTTGTTTCAGCTGGCAAAAGTGTAAGCGATTGAGTAATGCGATTGACATTTCTACCCGGACTTGGTAGTCCATGAATTTCAGCATAGTTTTCGAGAAAATTCTTTACGGTAGTGGCAACGGTTATGTCAATGGTTATTTTGGTTTTCCATCGCGGTACTCGTTTGATGTTACCATGAACGCGTGGTATTATACCATTCGTTACTAGATGATTTCTGACGTTTTCGAAGTGCGTGCGGCCAATTCCTAACATATTAAGATACGTTTTCTGACAAAGAGGAGTATTGCGATCCCAATAATAAAAAGTTCTTTTATTAGTACGCGTCTTCTTTTTAAGACGTCGACTGACGGATTTCCTTATGTCAAGAAAATGATCTACATCCGATGTAACACACAATTTTGATAATATTATATATATATATT